TTTAGATTTTTAGAGTGTTTTTGTATCTCTATGGTTTCTCTATACTTTCTTGGAAATGATGTAATATTGATTATGTCGTTTTGTCAAACAGTATTTATGTTCTGTTCCAAAGCTAAATCTTCTCTATCAAACATCACTAGACAAGAGCGATTAGCCCTCTAAGACTTGAATAGGACACAGATATCGTCATGCTCCAACCGACAAAGGCAATATGATAATAGTCATGAACATATTAGACTATAAGAAAAAAATGAAGAATCTTCTCTCGGATAAAACATATAAAAAAGCTTGACAAAGATCCAAGTAATACAATCGTACTGAATACCAAGAACTTAAAAAGCACCATTCCCAATAAAAGTTAAAAGAAAAAGAGCTATGAGTCAAAAGTTTGACCTATAAAATTGGTAGATGAGTAAAAAAAAATGTCTTAATTAATAAATTAATTAATTGAAATTTAATAACATGCATCTAACACAACGACCGTTTCGATCACGATTGGATCATTATTAATGTTTACAAAATATGTCTAAAGAGTAAAAAAACATAACATAAGTCGATTGAAAATTGAAAATATACTTCGCATTAAATAATTATACAATTGTTGGTATCAATAAATTAAGAAGGATCTTGGTCTTGTTAATTAAACTGAACATACATAAAATACATACATTAGAATTTGTCAGAAAAGTAAAAACTTATACTATGGATGGTCGAAATGAAAATATACTTCGCAATGTCAAGACATCTAACTATTGGTACCAATAATTAAAGAATCTTCGTATTATTAGTAAAATTGTACAGCAACAGAACGTCGATATATGGTTATATATTAGTGTCCAGAACGAAACATAACACATTACAGCTATAAATATAATGATGTAAGATTGTAAGAATGACAGAAAAATATAATCTGATGAGACAATACAATAATGATATAAGTGAAAATTAAAAATGTACAGTGTAAATTTATGTATTCAATTAAAATAATAAAATACTTGATATGATCAACAGTACACTGAGCATTTCCAATTCTTTACACACAAGATTACAGTTTACTATGGAGATTGTTAACAACAGAATATGTTTTCTTGATATAATAATTATCATTGACAATCAGAGAATCATTTTTGATACATATTACAAAGCAACATTTTCTGACAGATTCCTCAATTTCTATTTGAATCACCCTCTCCGTCACAAAAGAGGTACACTTATTAGTCTCTTAGAAATAATAAATAAAATATTCTATATATCACAACCTCGCTTTCAACAAAAAAATTTGATCGATGCAATTCACACTTTTCTTGAAAATGGTTATTCTCTCTCTTTTATTTTTTTCATAATAGAAAAAAGATTAAAATTTCATACATTAAATACAAATACTACACATAATTTACAAATTAAAGAAAAATATTTTACAATTCCCTATGGACATTCCATCTCAGAAAGTTTTCTACCTATCTTTAACATGTTTCATTGTAAACTTGTAATTTTCATCATCACCTATACCTTAAAAAATTTATTAAGAGAGATAAGGATAAGTTGGAATTGCTTTCGAATTAAAATTTTGTATATAATTGTATATAAGATCTCATGTGTGATGATTGTGACGCCAGCTATGTTGGCCAAACAAAGAGAAAACTAAGTACTAGATTGCGTGAAACATACATTTCGGATATCAATAAAAAGACAAATTCTCCATCTGTTATATCCGATCATCACGTTAATTTTAATCATAATTTCAGATGGAATGATGTGAAGATTTTAGACAGTGAATCTTCTTATAACAAAAGATTGATATTTGAAATGATTCATATTAAAAGAAATGCGGTTTAAATAAACAAAATGATACTGAATTTTGTCAGAATTCTACTCACATATTCCTTCTCTATCTCTTTCTCCCTTACAATTATCTTTTTTTCCTCTCCATACATCCCCCTTCCTATGTTCCTTCTACACCTCTTTAATCTCATTTCCCACTATTTTCTAACATTAACTTTACTTTCCTTCTTTCTGAAAGTCATTTTATATTTATTTTGTCTAACAACGTCGAAAATAAGAGACATCGATCTTTCTCTCATCGCATTGTCTATTGCACTTTATTCATATTATTTAAATTTTTTTGGAACTGAAATCTCAACTATAATTATGAAAGATATTTTTCTTATTTAATTTTAAAGAGTATTTTATTATTTTAATTGAATAGATACATTTACACTGTACATTTTTAACTTTCACTTACATCATTATTGCATTATCTCATCAGATTATATTTTTCTGTCATTCTTACAATCTTACATATTATATTTATATGTTATTTATATGTATTATTTCTGGACACCAATATATAATCATACACCGATGTTCTTTTGCTATACAATTTTACTATAATAACAAGACGAATTCTTTAATTATTAGTATCAACAGTTAGATGTCTTGACATTGCGAAGTATATTTTCATTTGCCGTTCGTTTTCATTCGACCGTAATATAAGTTTTTATTTTTTTGACAAATTCTAATGCATGTGTTTTATGTATATTCAGTTTAACTAACAAGATGAAGATCCTTCTTAATTTATTGATGACCAACAATTGTATAGTTATTTAATGCGAAGTATATTTTCAATTTTCGATCGACTTATGTTATGTTTTTTTACTGTTTAGACATATTTTGTAAACATTAATAATGATCCGATCGTGATTGAAACGGTCGTTGTGTTAGACGGCATGTTATTGAATTTCATAATTAATTTATTAAGACATTTTTTTATCTACCTACCAATTTTATAGGTCAAATTTCAGACTCATAGCCGTTTTTCTTTTAACTTGTTTTTAAATTATTGAACATTATACTATTATATAATTTCCAATAAAAATCAACATTACAAAATCAACATTAAAACCTACGAATCCGCTACCACCAAGATTATACGGACTACTAAAAGTACACAAATCAAACATCCCTCTCAGACCGATTGTTAGCGCCATACACTCCCCGATATACAACTTATTCCGCTTCCTAGCACAAACACTATAACCTTTTACTGAAAAATCCGAATCACACATAACCAATTCAACGGACTTCACACAAAAGATTCAAAACATCCCACAGACCTGCTTGTAAGTTTCGATAGTATAATTCTTTTCCACACAAGAAAATAAAAGACCTTTAAACATAATAAAGGTCTCACATGAAGTCTCCTCTGACCTCATCCCGCTAATAGAACACTGCTTAACATCCTCTTACTTCTTTTATAATAATTAATTTTATGAACAAACTTCAGGAACGGCAATGGGTTCTCCTATTTTTCCTGTAATCATCAACATCTTCATGGAGCATTTTTGAGAAAGAGGCTCTCAGAAAAACACCTAAAAAATCAGAAATTTATTCCGTTATTCCATCATGTAGACAACACATTCGTGATATGACGACATGGATCAGAGCCGAACTCCAAAAATTCCTTTTCCTCAACATCCAAATATCCAATTCACTATAGACATAGAGGAAAACGGAAAACTCCCTAGATGTTCTTGTCTCTAAGAAAGCTAACAGTACCTTAGATCATCAAGTGTACAGAAAACTAACGCACACAGAGTCGCACCATCATCCAGTATAAAAACAGTCTGCAATCAACTCACTTGTACATAGAGCTTTCACTATCTCTGACAAAGAATATCTACAGACAGAATTCAACCACTTAAAACTAACATTATAGAAAAATGAACACGACAAAAAAGACATAATCAATTAATAAACATGCAAACAAGACAACAGTTTCTGATAACCAGACAAAAGAATATCCTATTCATTCTCCCTTATGTCAAAGGAACAACAGATCAGATTGGCAGGATATTAAACAAATACAATATCCGAACTTTAAATCATCCAAAATATGGGACAAATCTTAAGAAATTCTAAAGACCTCTATACAAGGTATTTTATATACTCAGCTCCGCAGGAGTATATAAAACACCTTGTTCCTGCAAGCAAGTATACATTGAAGAAATACTCGGGAGAATGGTCAACCTACGGATAAAAGAACATCATCAACGTGTCAGGCTAAAATACGTCACGCAGTCAGCATTATCAGAACACAATATCGAAACAGGATATCAAATACTGTTTGACAAAACGACTACAATAAACAACATTATATCATACTTTTCAAGAAAGTATAAAGGAGTCATAGAGATACAAAAACATCCTAACAATTTAAATAGAGATAATACAACATAAATAAAATATGCAAAATTTCCCGATTATTGAAGACCGATCAATTCCCCCCCCCCTTCTCCCCCTTCTCCACTCACAATTTTCTTCTTTCTTCCTACCACTCCAACAAATAGGCGCAATATAAAAGGAATGACCTGGAGGAACAGCTTAGTATCAGACTTCTTGCCTGATGAAACGGACAGCAAGGTTTACGAAACGTTGATATTCCAAGAATGGATGGACACGGAGGAAACTCGCGAAACGCATAATCTTTATATTAAAACATGATTATTTTTTAAGAAGAATTATAAATAGAAGTCTTGATGTTTAAAAGTAATTATACCTGTGCTTTATTGTATAAAAGTATTAAATTAGTGTTTCACGAATGTATTTTCTAATTATAATTGGCACAGTTTAAAGATTTCACATATTTAAAAAAAAATTATTATTACCTTGATAGTTTGAAAAAGATTTGGAATAGATTTGAAACAGATAATTATTTTTTTCTTCAATAGTACATACAAACGCGTACACTTAGCGCTTCTTTTATCAATTTGTAAAAAAGGTTATTTAGTCATGTTTTACCTCATTTCTTAGATACAATATATAAAAAACTATTAAAAAACTTTTAAAGAATTGTTTTCCGATTGACATTTCGACCATTCCAAATGGAAAAACTTTATATAAAAACTTTTAAAAAACTTTTAAAAAATTGTTTTCTGATTGACATTTTGATTATTCCAAAATGCATTTTTCCACTTAAAGTTTCACCAAACTATTAATTATAGCATCACCGTTAACAAAAAAAGGGACAATCTTTTGAAAGAAAGGGAGATACTCATTGGCGAGCTGGAGACTATGCGACAACGCATGAAAAATATGTCCACTTACGCAGAGGAACTTGAGCAAAAAAATAACGAAGTCAATCAACGAATGACAGAGATGCAGGAAACCATTGGCATGCAACTGAATGAAATTTCGCGAGAAAAAGGTGTCCGAGAGAGATTGGAAATTGAGGTGCGACAACTTCAGGAAGAAATCATTATAAAAAAGAACGAACTGGAGGTAAAGTATTTGTAAATGATTATTATTACTAAAGCCCGAATTATCCGCTGATCGACGTACCGATTCCAGTCGACTGTAGCGACTGTTCCTCGTGATTCTCCTTACTACAACTCATCTGAAGCCGTGGCGACGGCGTCACGGCGATAGGGGATGAAGTGAGAAGAGCTAGCTACAGTTGATGTGATCTCAGGATTTTAATCCGGATTCTAATTAATAAAAACTGGAAGGATGATATGAACTTTTTATCCGTCATGTACATTTAGATATACAGAGTGTTCGAAAAGAATGGGATTTCCCTATGATCTTCAAAATTATGCACTTTCAAGGAAAATAACCCGAATAAAAGTTGCAAGAGTCACGAAGAACTTTTAATGACCTTGAATTTGATCTTGATTTGAAAATCACATTGAGATCACTTTTAATTTCTTAAATTGAATCCCCTATTTTTCATTAAATTGTTTCATTAAATACTATGTAGCTAACCTTGAGAGCTTTTCAAAACATTATAATAAAATATTTTTCCATAAAGTATATTCGAGTTATAAGACTTGAATATTACAGTATCGTCGGCATTAGCATTATGCAAGATGTCCGATGTTAACTACAAAAATATGTAATGAAAAATGAGGATTTCATTTCCAAAAAATTAAAAGTGACCTTTATGTAACCTTCAAACAATTATTTAAGGTCAAGTTCAAGGTCATCTTCAAAAGGTACTTCATGATTTCTACAACTTTTATTCGGATTTTCTCTGAAAGTGCGTACTTTTGTAGATTATAGGAGGGTCCTATTATTTTCAAACACCTTGTATAATTGTATGATAGTAAGTTATTAATTACTGTATTATGTAAAGGGTGTATTATGTACGGTAATAACTACATCATTAAAGATCGAGAAGTATCGATAATCTGTCGGTAGTTATCGAATATTATATTACCGAATATTATTGATAGTTTTAGTTACTATCGACAACTTTTTACAGTTTTGAAGATTTTAAAAGAGTCGACACACAGACTTCAACAGGGTGAGTAAAAAGTCCCGGACTGGTAAAATATTTCGAAAATTAAATATTTCTGAAAGAAATGTTTTCTACAAAAATTGTAGAGTTTTAAACTCTATTCACTGATCTGGTCAATCTGACTTTGGATGGCGTCACTAAAGTCAGGTAAAGGTTGCAACAATTTTTAAAAATGGTACACTTTATTTTTGATTACATAATCTAATAGCTGGTGTCAAGAACTTTTCAAAACACTACAATAAAATTATTTTTTATAAAGTACTTTTCGAGTTATGAGGCTGGAAAGTTACAGCATTTCCACATGCTTAGCATTACCAAGGGTGAACATGGCGAGACTTTCATCTCTTTGGGGTGCTTAATTTACGTGAATCTCTTTGTCTCTTACGTGTGTGTGTGTATGTGCATATATGTGCATGCGTGTTAATTTCAAAATCAACAATTATAAGATTATGATTCAACATTGCACTAAAACAGGTAGCATGAAAGATTGTTCATTGATAAATCACAGATTTATTTCTATGATTATGCATTATGTATTAGAGTCGATAATGATTATATCAGATGTTTGAATTGCTTTCCTTCTACTGTTTGACAGTATGTTAGCCTTAATTGAAAAGAATTTCTGAAATTTCTCAACATATCAATAATTATATATAAACTCATTTCGTCAGTTATTCTCTGCTTCAATTCTGCCATACTCGCTGATTTTGTTTTATAAATATATTCTTTTAACAATCTCCATAAAAAGAAATTTAGTAGTGTCAGGTTTTAGAAGCTACTCAATTTTTTTTGCCTCCCAGTCCATCTGTTCAGGAAAGTTTCATTCAGCAATCTTTGTACCTTTAATCCAAAATACACTTCATCTTGTTGAAACCACACGCAATCAAAATCGTTCGAATGGGAGAAGAATATTGAATAGAGTTGGAATGATTTGCTCATATAGTATTGTTTCGTATATATAGCATATATCTCAGAATATCATGATATCGAGATTTGTTATTTCTCATCCTGTGGATTTTCGGTGCTTCAATATCAGAAATTTTGATTAACATTTCTATAAAGTTCGAAATTAGCTTCATTGCAAAAGAAGAACAATGTTATTTATGAAATCGTTTTCGCATGCCTTAATAAGTTCACAAAATTTCCAAAATCATCATGAACTAACTCTCGCACATAAAGTATTTTATTGGGAATAAAATCTGTGCTTTCTTAAAATATTACACACTGATGATTGGCTGGTTTCATTTTCGATAACAACTTTTCTAGACGTATTAGGCGATTCGAGAAAATTTTGCAAAACGTTTGCACTCTTTTCCTCATTGGAGGAATATACTACCTTGAGCAAAAAGTTCCCGGAAGTTCATTCAGAAAATTTAAAATATAAGTTTTATTCGTCAAAAGTGATATTGTCTCCTTCAAAGTACTCCCTGTCGACTGCAATGCATTTATGCCAGTGCTTGATCCAGCTCTCGAAACATTTCTGGAACTCTATTGTATAGCCATCAGAGCCGTCTTTGATTTTTCCATTACCTTCTTTCGGCTGTTAAAATGCGTTCCTCGTAATTTTTTCATGCCACTCATAAACGGCTGTTTTCTTTAGGGTATCACTGCCGAAACAATTTCCCAACATTTCCAAGGTTTTCACACCATTGAATTCATTTTTAACGCAAAATTTAATACAAACTCTTTATAGTTTTAAAATGCTTTTTCAAATATCGCTTCGTGACTATTTTTCATGGAGATATTTGAATTTGGTTTTTACTGATTTTTAATAACTTTAATTTTGTTGAGAAGCAGTAGATAAATTTTTAGATAGAATAACTTCATTAAAAATCATCGTATCGAGATGTTTAAAAAAATGTTTTAAAGCTTAAAATCTCTATTGTTTAGATCGATATTTTATAATATCGTCTTACTGATATTTGATGAAATTACACATAAATGAAGATGCATCAAATCACAAAATTTTATACGAAATTTATGAAATTTTACCACGTGAATTAAATATTGCGCACAATGTTTTTTGAAAGGGTCGTTTTTGTTTCAATGTTGAATAATTCGGTGAAAAAAAATCGTACAAAAATAAAAAAATTAATTGAAAGTAAAGATTTACTCTTTCGAAAGATGTAAATCGCATTTATGTACAATTTTTAATTCGCGCTGTGACACTTCGCAAATTTTGTAAAAATTTTGATATCTGATGCGTCTTGATGACGCTCGTACCACTTGCACTTTGTTGTTTGAAAGAGTTCAAAGTTTTGGATGGCGATACTTTTATTGATGTGTTTATCGCTACAAACTCATCGTTGAACGCGGTGTTCACCTTCACACTGCCGTATCTTTCTATAGTGTCTCGCTCTCGCTCGAGCACTACATCGCCAGCGCCTTTCACAAACGTAGTTCGATGTGATTAGAGTTTATCATCGCGCCTGTCAATATACTCACGAACGATTGTTTCGATCTCGCGCCATCGAAATCCATATCCAGCACCCACATGCATGAATCGTCCACTTACCGAATCCTTCAAACTCTTGAGCTTCGGGAAAATATTATCACTAATTGTCTCTTGCCGATCGATAATCACGATCGTTTTGCATGACTCTGCTCTTTCGAAGATTCGATGACTCGTCGCATCGTTGTTCGATGCTACGTTCATGCTATGTACTCTTCTTTGGTATTCAGCTGGATCGCTTGCTCTATCAAATCACGCTCCATGTTATCGTTTGTGTTGACTAACGACGCGATGTGTCTAAATCTTCTCATTTTATACCATTTACTTGATCATGTGATATTAGTATCACACTACAATGATGACGATGTCATCGTTCGAACATTTTGTGACATGTCATACCATGTCGAATGTTCACGAAAAATCTGGTCACATCACATGTACACTATTTAGCAACGTCGATAGCAACGATTTATATCAAATTGCATGTTATTGCAAATTGCGATGATGTCACCGCGAATGCCGTGATATGTGACTTGTCGCGGCATGTCCTTGAAAAATTTTTGATGATGCTAAATCTAATAAAGTCGTCGATGTTTGCGAAATTGTAAACATTTTTTTGTATTAAATAACACATTGATGTTATCGCGAGACGCGTCAAATAACAAATACGATGTGACAAACATCTTGAGTAAGATGAATATCTAGAGTATCTAGAGTATAAAAATTCAAATACTGAATGTGAATTATTAGTTATTATGGATAATAATATATATAGTATATGTAAAATAAACGAACTTTAAACTGTATGTTTCAGCATTTGAAATTATTCATTCCGTCTTTGTGATATTCATTCGTTCTTTTCCTTCCTATCTTCTTCATGATATCATATTACATGTAATCAATGATATTATTGTCCCTGATAATATCGTTGCGCTCGCTTTAAAAGCATTAGAATATAATCGAATACAATAGAAATAAAAAATATATATGTATATGTTTTGCGTATGAGAATAAGTAAAATGAATTACATAGGAAGTTGCAATTAGAAAAAAAATCGTAAGTATAGGATGCATATGAATCGCAACGGACGGCATAATGTATCGAGAGAAAAATGATATATGGCAAGTATATGAAATAGCTGCGACATTGGTGGTGACGGCGCTCAATATCTCAATGCGTATAACGGTAACTGATAACCAGATGCTCTATGCACAACAAAGGCTACCCTAAAACTTATTCTCGCGGCAATACTTTTGCTTTACTTTTTTTTTATACACCGACCATAGATAAATGCCTGGCTAATAATAAAAATGTCTCGCTAAGCGAAGAATATTTTTCAACGTCAATCTTGTCCACGTCTTGTCCGCACGCGGATTCATCTTATATAAAACAAAAATTCTCTGTTTTAACATGAACTCCCTGCTTTAAAAAATTGTTAACAGTGAGACAAAAAAAAGTTCTGCTATATAAAACAAAATTCTCTGCTTTAAAATAAATTTCCTGCTTCACGTCTTGTCCGCGCGCGGATTC